ATTTGGCAACTTCTACTAATTGTGAGACCTTGTGCCCCTCCAAGGAGCACAGTAAGACAATGTCACGAAAGCAGCAGCATCTGAGTACCAACACAGGGAACGGTGCCCTGAAACTCTGAGACACACAGAGGGGGAGACAAACTTAAGACACATCTCTGGTAGAATAACAAGGCTTGCCCAAAGCTTAAATTTTTGAAAACTGTTTTTAAGTAGCTCATCTGGAATCGCTCCCAAATCTGGAAACTTCGTGAACAGAATGCTCCCTTCATAGTCTATACAATGTTAGTGACTCCATCTTTCCCAAACCTATTTTATTCCCATTGTGTTTGAGTTGAAAATCTTCACTGAATCTAAATCCCTGCCTTGGCATCCCCTCCTGAGGCAGGGTTTCTACCTCTTTGTTTTACAGCCTGGCTAACTCTAACTGTACTGGGAATGAACTTCTCAGACCTCAAGTCTCAAGCATAACCAGAGTGACAGGTAGGACAAGTCTGAGAACAATAAATACATTGCATCCTGTGGTCAGAAAAGAAAATACTGATATACTAACTTTGGAAATTGTCAGAAAAGGGAGACTATCATACTCAGTATAATGCTGTGTCTTCCAAGTCATTTAAAAAATTTGCCATCAGGCTTCTGATCAACAGAAGGAAAATGAGGCATTCACCAGAAGGGGCCCTTATCAATCCTCAACTAGAATTATTATTGCCTTATTGTGATGGCACCAAATTATAACCAGACGCTAGGTATGTACCTTTTTTCTTCCCTTTCGAATGGGCAGCTTTAGAGCCCATTACCGAGTGTGGGGTTTTGAGAAATTGATCCTAACTTAAAGCTTTAATTAATTGCCCCACATCAGGCTACCAATAGATTAACGCTTCTGTTCTGGGCACCACTACTTTTATAAAAAATAAAAATAAAAAGCTGGAAATGTGAAGAAATGAGAGAGAATAAATGCACTCACATTTAAAATGGAAAGGAGAGGACAGGAACCTTTCCAAACACCACAGGGGAAAAGAACTCAGCATCTCTCCCATTTAAAGCATGCCCACCATATCCCCTGACCATTGCTGAGCTGTGTTTACATTTTAGCTTTTACTGAGCCTTACAACAAATCAATTTGGGATAAAGATACAGCCAAGGTTTCATATGATCACTACAGCCTTGATAATTATTTTTCTTCACTGCTGACTAGATTTACCAGAAGGGCAGACAGGGGGGAATGGATGAGGGTGCTGACAACACAGTGGACAGTGACAGGGATGGCTGAGTATGGAGCCTCTAGTGGGAGAGGAAGGCTGTCTATCTGACGAGTTTGTATTCATGCTCAGATGCCGAGGAGCTCAGAAGGTGGGCGACTGTGACCAGTGATAGTCATGTATATAGAGATTAGAAATGCATGTGAAAACGTCTCAATGTCAATTGCTTTGGAATGAATTCTTCTGTATGAAAAAAAAAAGTTGTGCTGTAAAGTATTCCTTGAGAAATGTTTATAATTCTATGAGAATGTAAATAGTTTCACAGTAATTGTTTTTCAGTTAGAATATTCTAACTTAATTGCAGCGCAGTCTCTTTAATTTCTCGTTCATTAATTTTTAACTAACTTCATAAAAGACTAAGAATAAAAAAAATATGATTTATTTTAGAAAAAGTTAAAAAAAAAAACAAAAAACTGGGAATACTTTGGTCCAGACTCTTCTGGCTTTCATAGTTTACATTGCAAAGTCAGCTGTAATCTTTATGGGTTTTCCTTTATATGTAACTTGTTGTTTCTCTTTTGCAGCTTTCAGAATTGTCTCTGTTTTGTACGTGTAGTGTTTTTACTATGATGTGCTGTGGAGAGTTTCTTTTCTTGTCCTGTCTGTTTGCCTATATGCCTATGATTCGTAAGTTTGGTCTTTTTATGGTGTCACACAATTTCCGCATATTCATTCTTCCTGCTTCATTAAATTTTTCATAATCTTTGCTTTAGTGGTCTAATTCGTCCACTTTATTTTCCAGTCTTGATACTCTGTTTTCCATTTCATTCATCCTATTGGTGAGGCTTTCTCCTGTCATTTCTAATTGGCTTACTGAGTGTTTCACTTCCTTCTTCATTTCAGCCTGGGTATTCTTCAATATTTCTAACTCTTTTCTGAATTCATTCAGAAGTTTATCCCTATCTTCCTTCAGTTCTTTGATTTCTTTGTTTCTGTGTTCTTTAAATTCACTGAATTCTTTCATCATCTTTATAATTGTCCATGTCCTGCATTGTCTCTACGGGGTTCTCACTGTGCTCCTCTAGAGGATTACTGGTATTTGGTGGGGTTATGTTATTTTGGTTTTTCATGTTATTATTTTTTCTCTGTGATTTTGACATATGAATTTCTTTTATAGTTTCTGTTTCTTGTGTGAGACTCAAGCCTTCAAGTTTAGGTCTGCTTCTTTTTGTGAAGTTTATGTGTCTTTGTGGTTTACTTTTTGGGCATGAAAAGCTGGTTCCTCAGAGCTTCCAGTACTCTCTTTTGATTTTATATTGGAGTGGCCAGATTGCTTTTGTCTTCAGGAGTTCCCACAAAGGCCCAAGTCAGATGAGGATCAGATGCTCTCAGGCTTTCTCCTAAGGTCTGGATCTATTCAAAAAGATTTTGGCTTCAGGAATTTGGGGGTTGGATTGGCCTGGGCTGGGAGCTGGGCCCAGGAAAGATGCTGTTCTAGGGCAGCTGGTGGTCGTGCCACCCAGAGATACAAAGGAAGATGGGGGCAGGAAGCGGCCCCAAGGGCTCCTTGGGACTGCATTGAGGAGCTGGGTTGGTCTGGATGCAAAGGAACAGGAAGAGGAAAGGTCAGCCCTAGTGTCCAGGAAAAAGGCTGGCGGGTTGTGCAGACCCAGGGAAGCAGAGGGATGTGAGGGTGGGGTCAGGCCCAGAGTACCCCTGGGGACCAGAGAAGGAACTGAGTTCGTCTGGATGGAAAGGATCAGGAAGCATTGGTGGCTCCCCAAGTGTCTGGGGCGCCAAGAAATGGGACAAGACCCAGGCTAGGAGGAGAGACCCGCGGGGGAATGGGAGAGTGAATGAGGCTGGGGGAGTCAAGACACAGAGGGCGCGATTGACTTACCCCGGAGAGAGAGGCCCATTGGTCGTGCAGGCCCTGGGATGCAGACGGCACGGAAATATTTTTTTAAAAAACCATTATATATAAGAAATAATCCAGGCTGGAGAAATGGCTCAGTGGTTGAGAGCATGGCTGCTCTTGCAGAGGTGGCTAACAGTCCCTAACTCCAGTTCTAGGGGATATGACACCCTCTTCTAATCTCCATGGGCATTACATGACATGGGTGTACTTACATACATGCAGGCAATACACTCATACACACAAAATAAAAAATAATTAATAAAATACTTATTAAAAAAGAAATAGGCCCTTGCTACCTTATTTATCAAAAATATTAAAAACTCCCCTGCTGAGGAATTAGTTCTGCATTGTTAAACTGAACTCTTAAAACCATTATCCCTATAATATAGATGCGAAAAATAAAAAATAGCATTTTCTCATTCATCTTAATGATATTTATTTAACTGGCAATTTTATGACCTTATGAGAAATCCGAGGTGGAGAGTAAGTTCACAAATGAGTATAAGGACCACTTCAATGTTTCCTTTTTTTTTTTATTTCTCTCTTTTCGTTGTTTTTTTGACAGGGTCTCTATAGTCACAGCCCACCTGGAAGTCATTATGTGAACCAGGGTGGCCTTGATCTCACAGAGATCCACCTGCCTCTGCCTCCTGAGGACTAGGATTAAAGGCACAACACCTTGAATGTACTCTCATGTTTCAAACACATGAGAAATGATACTTCTGCATAATTTATATATCCCTTTGTATGGATAATATACATAGGAAAAGTTCATTCTCTGGCCAGTAATGTGTGTCACTTTTATGAAATTATTGTTATTGCTGTATGTACATATATGTATCTATGGTGCATATTTGTATATGCCAGTGTGCATACAAGGTGTGTGTGTGTGTGTGTGTGTGTGATCATACACACACACACACACACACACACACACACACCTGTGGAGGCCAGAAATCAACCTTTGACATCCTTCCTTAGGTGCCATCCACATTTATTTTCTGAGACAGAGTCTCTCACTGGCCTGGAACTCCCCAATTAAGCTAGGCTGGCTAGCCAGGAATTCTTTCCCTATCTCTGCCTTTCCATGCTACAAGTGTGAAAGTCCCATGCCTGGCTTTAAAACAATTTTTTTTTAGCTGTGTGTATATTCAGGTGCACATGTGGAGGCTAGAGGATAATTCTCTGGAGTTGGTTCTCTATTGGGATCCCAGGACTGAGCTCAAGTGTAGGACCTGAATACAAGGGCCTCCAGTTACTGGGCTATCTTATCTCACTGGTCTATGCCTGGCTTCTTTATGTGGATTCTGGGGATCAGAGCTTTTTCTCTAGCTTCCTTGTTGAAATTATTAAAAATTACCTGGGTCCCAGAGAAGAAATTGGGATACTTGGCAGAGGAGATAAGGAAAAGCCCGATAAACACAAAGAGATTCTTGTTTAAGTCTCTAAGACATAAGTTCATGTCTCCTGAGCTATACTTATGAAGACTTTCTTGCAGAGTATCAGAGCACAGCAAATTCTGGCTCAGTCCCATCTCACTTCTATATCCTATTAAGGTGAGTTTACAACTAAATAAAATAAGTTCTCACTATTTAGTTGCAAACTAAGATATTTCTTACTCCAGTGTCCTCTCTCTTTCAAAAACTATTGCTAATGTGATCTATTTAGTTTTTACTTTCATGACTATTTTTTCCTCCCAAAGTCCAATTTACTCTTTGTCCAATTACCTTCAAGTGGAATCACTGCAGATTTGCATAGGCTTAAATAAAAACTTATGAAGGGGTATGTAAGTCTTGCAGAGGAAAAACATGAGTATGGAGAGATATTACACCACCAACATAACAAAAACCGGACCAATTTGAGAGATGCTGTCAGACAGTTACCTTGTCCATTTTCTTGAGGTTTATTTTTCTTCCAAAATTCAGATTCACGCTCAAGTTCTTCTAATTTAAAGGGGAAAAAAAGAATATGAAAATCATAGGAATAATCATGAAGTCCTTAATTGAAATGCTAACTTTATAAATCAAAGAAGTTTGTAGAACCTAAAGAGCAACTTACGTTCTCGAAGTCCAGGTACCAGCTTAAATATAATTTCCTCCAGTGTGTTATCCAGCCTTCGGGGAATGGGTTGGGAAAACATACAATGAAGACATCAAAATCCAATATGCAAACAGCTTAGATTTCTATTGCACATGTATTACAAATTACAGACTGTAGATGACTTTAACATACTTACTGCACCAAACTCTTCTGCACCTGTAGCACACTTATTGCTAGTAACCTTCCCCCAGGAGCAGAGTAGTCCCAAGCATTCTCTCTATATACAGCTTCAGAGCATCTCGTTGAATGAGTTCAGAACCCAGAGAATTCCTAACACTGAAAATATGAGTTCACCTGGAAAGCTGCTTAGACCAAGAGAATATAGGACAAGTGACACTGAACATAGACCTAGCCCAAGTCTCAAGAGGCACTGCCTCCATATGCTCTTTTCTTTCCCCCTCTCCTGCTAGCAGGAAAACAAGCCTGAAGGCTAAGCACCAAGTAGAGGAGAGTCATGCTGCCCTGCAGAGGGCATCTTAGATCATTCCACTGACAACGTGTGCCCAACATATGGCAAAATCTAGCCAAAAACTGCAGAACACTTAACTGAAGTTGCAGGAGTGAGCCCAGTCAAGATCAGACGGCTGCTAACCCATGGCAATGGAGAATAAGGAATGCTTGCCACTAAAAGCATTAATTTAGGGGTGGTCTGCTATGTACCAATAGCTGACACTCCCACTCTTGAAATCTCTAAAATTCTGTCTCTTTCCTCAAAATCAATGATCTTCAGTCCTCTTTTCTGAGAAACTTAGGCTGTTTAATCATTCCAGCTCCCTAGATAAAAACCCGTCTTGGCACTTTTCTTGTTTTCTTCTCCTGGTATTATAAAACATTTCCTTTTCACATCTTCATTTCTTCAGCCCATTCTCTTGCCTCCACAACACCTGCCTTTACTTCATTTTCATCTGCTTAACAGCATTACTCTTCTTCGATATCAAACATGCGTAGGTTTCTCACATGTAAAGAAAATGTCTTTTCCTTAACTTACTGTCTTTTAAAACTACTTCTCGGACTGAAGAGATGGCTCAGTTGTTAAGAGCACATGTTGCTCTTGCAGAAGATTGGAGTTCAGTTCCCACCACCCAAGTTAAGCGGATCACAACTACCTGTAACTTTGGCTCCAGGGGATCTGATACCCTCTTCTGGCCTCCACAGGTACCGGCACATACATGTACAGATACACACACATACATATGAGCTTTTTAAAAAAAAAAGTTATTTCTGTTTCTTACTCTTCTTCTAAATGGAAAAAAAAAAAAAACCCTGTCATTTCTGCTCTCTTGTTATTTGTTTCTTTTACCTTCCTGAGCTCTGTAACTTCACACTGAATAGTATTATTTTGCAGCAATTTGACAGTATAGCTTAACACTAACTCCTTGAAAATTTCCTTTCCTAGTTTTTTTTTTTCTTGTCTGTTCTTTGAGCCTAAATTTTCTTTATCCAACTAAATTTGTTTCTTAGTGTTGGTGGGGAACTGATTCCTGAACTCATCAGATACCAAAATCTGTGATGTGTGTTTCTGACTACCTCACTCATCTGTCCATGTTCAGGCCCCACCCTATCAGAGCACAACACACCCATAATGATTCTCCCTAGAGTATGAATTTGGTCATTATTTTCCAGTTCAAGACCTAGCTCTGCCCACTACAAGGTTTCATGTGTTTATATAACTTGAGTCCAACTCACAAACAGTAACTGGTGCTATTCTCTCATGTCTCTCTTCCCTAGCCAACTGGCTTACTCAATTATCCCAAGAATGCTTGTCTCTTCTGGTCTGTTCTCCCTGTTTCTCATCAAGGCTCAAATACTGTTCTTACTCACCAACCACACCAATGTTAATCTTTTTCTTTAAGACAACTCAAATATTAACCCACTCACAAAGTACTTAATACTGCTAGATATAATAAAAGTTTTCCTCTTGACATTTTAAACCATATACTTGTATATAATTTAAAAATCAAATTTCTCTAAAAACAAAACTCTTAGGCCTCATCCTTTCTGTTTACAATTCTTACAGACCAGAGGCAATAATCTTTTATTTTTTTTACACTTAAAAGAATTATTTTTTTTGAGGTTTTGCAGTTTTTATACAATATAATTTGATAGTATTTAGAACCTTTCCTCTATCCTTACCTATAGACATGCACACACACACACACACACACACACACACACTCACACAATATACAAAATAAGGCCTATAGAGTCTCCTTTTGTCCCCACATGTCCACTGTGGGTCCATCCACTGGAGCCTGGTTAACCTACCGAGAGTCATAGCAGAGGCAGTAATGTTTAAATTCAACCTTTTTTCCCCTAGTATTTACTTTCAAGCTTTTTATTTAAAAACAAACAAACAAACAGAAAAACCATGTTTTTTTTTTTTTTTTTGTCTTTTTCTGTAAGATGAAGGCTTAATTCTCTCCATCCCTTGTCACTCCCTTTCTTCCCAGGAGAAACTCTGTCCTACTCTCATCTTCCCAATACAAATTTATTAGCACTATTAGTCAATCTAATTAATCTGTATCTGAGAAAAAACCTCAACTGGAGTTATTTTAAGAGCCTAAGACAATGCTGTAACTTTCATTGAAAATATATTTCTTAAATATTTGTTATATAATTTTATTTAACTTTTAATAAAAACTTTACAATGAAGTAATATTCTTTAAAATAAAGATCTTAAAAATCCTAAGCTCTTGGGGCTGGAGAGATGGCTCAGTGGTTAAGAGCATTGACTGCTCTTGCAGAGGACCTGGGTTCGATTCCTAGCACCCACATGGGGGCTATGAACCATCCTTAACTCCAGTTCCAGGGGAATCTGAAGCCCTCTTCTGACCTCTGTGGCACTGCACAAGATGGGTACGCTCATATACACGCAGGCAATACACTCATACACATTTAAAAAAATCTAAATTATCTTCAAAGAAAATATTAAATGATAAAAATCATAATATATAATTAATCAAAAATAGACAAATTACAAATTATAAAATATCTCTTACCTCAACATTTCTAATGGATTTGTTTCATGAACTTGGTTGCCACACCTTGGACAATCATTGCTATCTTCAAAATGCTGGACAATACAGGTCTTACAGACTAAGAAGAGATAAGATGGTAAGTTAAAATGCACCATTTGAATCATCACTTACATTTAAAGTTAAACTGAATGTAGTTGGATAAAGTCATAGAAAATATCTGCTACAGGTAGAATACTATAATTAAACTTTATAAAACCCTAAAATTACAGCATCAAAATAAAACCCAACTAAAATGAAAGCCTACCACCACAATAGAAAAAGTAAATTCTAGCTTATTTACTGTTTCTATTAAATATAAATCAAATATACTCTACCCAAATCCCATTTTAAAAAAAAACAAGTGCATTTACATAGAAGAGGTCTTTCTTATTTAAAGTAGGACAGAGAAAAGTAAAAACCCTTGACTTTGCTTTTATCTCTTTTGCTAAAGCTTACTTGAATGTAACAAACAGTTCTTAATAAAACTGAAGGACTGGACATATTGTTCAGTGGTAAAGCATATGCCTGTGAGGCTCTGGGTTTGATCCCCATCACAGGAGAAACAATAAAACACTTGGGAGTTTTCTATGTGCTATCAGGGTGGCTTCTGAAGGAAACTAGGAGTTGTGATGGAATCTCTGGCACTGCAGAGCATGGTGAGTTTGTGCTCACAGGTATCATAATGTCACAGAACACACAGTATGGGAGATGGTGTCAGGCTGGCAAAGAGGCACAGAGGTAAACTGGAAAAATGACTGAGAAATCGACAAGAGTAATTAAAAATTTAAATAAAGGTTCTAAATGAAGTCTGGAAGTAGATTTGAAGCCATATGGCAATACAGCCCCACACTTCTTCCAAATAATGCTAATCCCTGTGATTATGAATTTCTTTCATCTTTTACCTATGCTTCCATTACCTAGAATGCCAACAGTTTTGCTCAAATCTGTCCTTAGATACATTTATAGCACCTGAACTATAAAATTTCAATCCAATTCCCTCTAATCTTGTATAATCTTCTTCTAATCTTGTATAATCTCAAATTTCCTCTGGGTCTAGACAGGCTATTCTTCCTTGGTTTGACAATTCCATTCCAAGCTATTCCTTTCTCTCTTATCATCTCCCACGCTCTCTCAAAGAAATAAAAGCTTATCTAAATGATTGGTCAAAAGCAAAGCTAAGATTTCTATGACTGAGATTAGGTCTGAGAAAGCCAAGCATATCACCAACACTAGCTAGAGTAACAACAGGGAGAACTCTGCCAGGGATTTAGTTTTACAATTACTTAGTGTACGGGGCTGGAGAGATGGCTCAGCGGTTAAGAACACTGACTGCTCTTGCAGAAGACCTGGGTTTGATTCCCAGCACCCACATGGCAGCTAACAACTGTCCATAACTCCAGTTCCAGGGGATCTGACTGCCTCTTCTGTCCTCCGTGGGCACTGCAAGACAAGGGTGCACTTACCTACACGCAGGCAATACATGCATACACATAAAATAAAAATTAAAATATTTTTTAAAAACCAATTACTTAGTATATATAGAAAGTAACATCTTATCACTTTTCATTTAATTATTCACTGATTGGATTAACTGAATGATAGGCATTATACTAGGAGCTGGGGGTGTAGGAGTAAACAAAACAAAGTCCCCACACTTACAGAACTTATTTACATTCTTACTTACTTACTTACTTCTTACTTACATCTTCTCCTACCCATTAAGAAGGTGTAGTGTGTGCCCTAAAGTTTTGACAGCTATTTAGATGGAATGATCAGGGCAGCTACTAACATAACATCTGAGCAGATATTTTGTTGGGTGAGTACACTTAAATCCCATACTCTCCACTCATCTTCATTCCCAACAGCTTGGGATAGTACCCTCTTCACTATAATTCTCCCAAAAGCTAGATGGAAGACAGAAAATACACTTAAAATGTAGATAATCAAAGTTAGCTTGTTGCTACAATGAAGAAATGAGTATCTGCCTTTACTCCCATATCTCATTTCTTAAAGAGGTTATTTAAAATTTTTTTGTTGGTCTTGAACCCCATTCCTGATCCTCCATCTCCCAACTGCTTGGATTATAGTTATACACCACCACACCCAGATTCCAAAAGGGTTCCCAAACATCTTTTCCAAAGTCAAAATAATCTCTGCGAAGACAGGGCTGCCTTGTCAAGCCAAGTTGAAGCAAAGAACAGAGAAGCAGAATTCCTGTGGAAGAGTCCCTGTATTTGTTCTTCTCCCAGGGTCACTAGATAACTCTCTGAAACTGAGGAGGGGAAAAAAAAAAAAAAGAGAGAGATAAGAAACAAGAATAAAGGGGTTTTTACAAAGCCTAATCGTGACCTGGAGCTCTGATTGATTGATTGATTTATATTTAATTTATCTATCACACTCAGTAGATTCAGCAATGCCAAGTTGTCTATCAGCCCTGATCAAATCTGAGTACATGCCATGCCCAAAGCAAATCCTCATTAGGTCAGCTAAGAGACTAAGAATAAGACCCTATCTAGCCTCCCTGGGGAAAAGATGCTAATGTAAATTATCAAAGAAATAAAGGCTGAAGCATCCAAAGGCACACACAGTTCTAAACTAAGGTTATATGAATTGCCTGAGGCCAAAGGAGCACCAGTATCCAGGACACTGAGGGGGAATATCTCAGTTCTAGATCTGGACTGTTCAGTATGGTGTCACCAGTCACCTGCTGCTAACTATTAATTTGAGATGCGCTGTAACTAGAAAACACAGATTAGATTTAAATGCTAAATATTAAAATAATATCAATAATTTTATGTTACCATATGTTGGAATGACAATTATTTTAAATATATTGGGTAAAATATTAGTTTAGAAAAATGGCAGGAGTACGTACTCCTCTAGTGTCAACAGCCCCTCTCTCTGTATGTATATATCTAACAATAATAATTAAAGAGGAGGTCACAGAATTGAGAGGAAGTGAGGAGTGTGGGAGGAGGGGAGGGTGGAAATGATGCAGATATAGTCAGTACTCATGCATGAAATTCTCAAACACAAAAATTTAAATAAAAAAATGAATGTGTTTCTTTTTAAATGTGGTTACTAAATATATTTTAATTATACATGTGGGTCACACTTTTGGGGGCTGGTAGTTTTAGGGACTGAATCCAGGCCTCTGCCACTGAATTATATCCTGAGCCTTTAAAAAACTTTCAGTTTGACTCGCCTCCCTCTGCTTCCCTGGGCCTGCATGACCCACAGGTCTTTTCTCTGACCCTCAGGCCTCTCTCCGGGGCAAGCTGATCCTGCCCTCCGAGCCTCGATTCCCCCAGCCTCATTCACATTCCCATCTCCCCACGGGTCTCTCCTCTAGCCTGGGTCCTGTCCCATTCCTTGTCTTGGCACCCCAGACAATGGGGAACCACCACTGCTTCCTGATCCTTTGCATCCAGACCAACCCAGTTCCTTCTCGGGACCCCAGGAAACTCTGGGCCTGGCCCCACCCTCACCTCCCTCTACTTCCCTGGGCCTGCACAACCTGCCAGCCTCTTTCCTGGACATGGGGCTTACCTTTCCTCTTCCTGTTCCTTTGCATCCAGACCAACTCAGCTCCTCGTGCAGTCCCCAGGAGCCCTTGGGGCTGCTTCCTGCCCCCATCTTCCCTTGTATCTCTGGGTGGCACAGCCACCAGCTAGCTATCTTAGACCAGCATCTTTCCTGCGACCAGTTCCCAGGCCAGTCCAGCCCCCAAATTCCTGAGGCCAAAATCTTTCCTGGAAAGATCCAGACCTTAGGAGAAAGCCTGAGAACATCTGATCCTCATCTGACTTGGGGCTCTGTGGGAACTTCAGAAGACAAAAGCAATCTGGCCACTTCAATATAAAATCAAAAGAGAGAACCGGAAGCTCTGAGGAACCAACTTTTTATGCAATGCTCCCATTTTCCCCATTTTTCCCTTGATAATATCCTTCTCAGATGGTCCCATCTCTCTTGAGCAGGCCTAAATCCAACAAAGAAAGGCTTGAGTCTTACACAAGAACAGGAGACTACAAAAGAAATCCACATGTCAAAATCACAGAGAAAATATAATAACATGAAAAACCAAAATAACATATCCACACCAAATACCAATAATCCTCTACAGGAGTACAGTGAGAACCCCCTAGAGATAATGCAGGACATGGAGCTCAAAAGAACAATTATAAACATGATGAAAGAATTCAGTGAATTTAAAGAACATACAAAAAAAAAGAAATCAAAGAACTGAAGGAAGATAGGGATAAATTTCTGAATGAATTCAGAAGAGCTAGATATATTGAAGAACACTCAGGCTGAAATGACGAAGGAAGTGAAACACTCAGTAAGGAAATTAGAAACGACAGGAGAAAGCCTCACCAATAGGATGAATGAAAAAATGCAAAACATAATATCAAGAGTGGAAGATAAAATGGATGAGTTAGACCACTCAAGCAAAGATTATGAAAAATTTAAGAAAACAAAAGAATTGAATATGCAGGAATTGTGTGACACCATAAAAAGACCAAACTTATGAATTGCAGGCATACAGGAAGGAGTGGAATCTCAGGATAATGGCATGGACCAGATCTTCAACAGGACTGTAGAAGAAAATTTCCCCAAATTAAGAAAGACATGCCTATACAAATACAAGAAGCATATAGAACACCAAACAGACCCGACCAGAAAAGAAATTCTCCACAGCACATAATAGTAAAAACAAAAAAAAAACATACAAAACAAAGAGACAATACTGAAAGCTGCAAAAGAGAAACAACAAATCACATATAAAGGAAAACCCATTAGGATTACAGCTCACTTTACAGTGCAAACTATGGAAGCCAGAAGACCAAAGTATCCAAAGTATTCCCAGTGTTAAATGACCACAGATGCCAACCCAGATTACTATATCCAGCCAAAATGTCTATTATAGTTGAAGGGGAAAGAAAAATCTTCCATGACATAAATACGCTGAAGGAATTCTTGTCCACAAAACCAGCCCTTCAGAGAGTTCTGGAAGCAATACAAAGAACTGAAGAAAGAAATGACTATACCCAAGGGGTTGGGGAAAGCAATTCAATGAAG